GTGTGTGTTGATCAAACACCGTCGAGTCCCACAGCTTGTCCTCACCTCACACACTACTCGTGCTCATCTGTGCACGCGCGCGCGCGCTTCATCGTCGCCATCGGCGCGCGCATGACGCTAATGAGGCGCGAGACTGTTGATCTAACAAACTCACGAAACAAAGCAAGGGTTTTTAAAGCGTGGCACCTCAGAAAGTGATAAAAACAGGAGAACTGTGAGAGGAGCGCTCAAACGCGTCCGGATAATGTCTCGAGATCAGGGAGAAATGCAATAAGGATTTTATAACAGAGAGAAAAGAGAGAGCTCTGCCAGACCGTCCGTGGGTTCAAACGTTCACGATCGCTGCTTCTGTGACCCGTAATATCCGTTTTCATTCATCAAAAACATTTCGTTCATTACTAGACAAATGCAAAACTCAAAAAATATGACGCGGGTCACATATGATTTATTGACATGGAGACAGAAGAATGCCGGCCATTGTTTCCCAATGAGAGACACAGTGTGTATCAGTGACTGAGAGACTGCCTGTCCACACACACACACACACAGTTACTGTGTACGATAGCGAAAAATTATTCGGTTATTTTTGCATAATCTATTTAGACTTGTGTTGCATTAGAAATAGTTTTGGCTAACAGTGACACCTTAAAATAAAGTGTAACCGAACTTGTTGTGGCTAAAGAACTATACGGTAATATACAGGCACATTTAGCGTCTGGAAGCTGATTGGTTGGCGTGGCTTGTACAGTATAATTGCTGTTCAACTTGAGGAGCCCCATAGAGATTTGTTTAAACATTAAAAAACACTCCATCATTCTGGATGTAGCTGGTCATTAATCGCTTAATTCCAGTAAAGCTCCCCCGCACACAATAGGCCGCTGTCTGGCGCTAATGCGTGTGTGATTGAGCATTTATCGGTGTTCGTCCAGCGGGTCCTGAGGGCCCCAGAGCACCGCATGCCTGAGGGCCCCAGAGCCTCGCGGAGACGGGCTCGGGATAATCACACTGACCCGACCGCGCCATTCAACCTGCCGGCTGATTTATGACATCGAGGCTAATCTTTGTCAATTGCTTAATGTGGACAACAATGCCAGTGTGTTAAATAAAATATGGCCCTCTCACGCGTTTGTACGAATGACCCCGCCGGCCTTCTCAAGCCACGGTAAAACAAACAGCTATTCCCCCCAAACAAGAGTCACTCAAACTGAGCAGAAGCGATGCAATGAAGCAGGGTTACACTTTATTTTAAGGTGCCCCCATACAGTGTAATTATATATTTAAGTACTGAGTAATATTACGCAACTACATGTATACTTTCTATAGGAGGTTACACTTTATTTTAAGGTGTCATTGGTGTAATTATATATTTAAGTCCTGAGTAATAATAGTTTACTACATGATGTACCCATAGGGTTAGTGTATGATTCGGTATTGGTTGAGGGTTAGTTGCATGTAATTATGCATAATTTACTGTTATAAGTACATGTAAAGCCTATGTAACAAGGACACTGTAGAATAAAGTGTTACCAAAAACAGTTCCGTTTCATTTTTGATTTTTTCAACTTCAGATAAACCGTAAGAAAGTCAGTTAAAAGTGGTAATAATTTAGCGTGCAATTAAACGCATGACACATGCCGCATCAGGTGAGCACCGGTGAGCTTCTTTACCGGGCAGTCCCGGGTCCGGGTCACTGTTACACCAGCCGTACAGCACGGGAGGAAACGATGACAGGGACTCCGATAAGAATTTAATTCCATCTCATTTTAGACAATTTTATGAATCAAATTCTTAAACACTGGCAAGAGATTAAATAATCACATCTTTGCGAAATCTTATTTGGGTCCGGTCGATGGCATTTCTTCTCCCGTTAATGTCGACTTAGAGGTTGGAGTAATTTCGTAATTGATTCGGAGCGCGGGATCTCGGCGGGGCCAGAGTCGCGTTAGAGAGGCTAATATGTTTGCTAATACTGTCCCCGCAGAATAAGATTTCTATGCTAATGCTCTGCTCTGCGGGCCAGACATCAGCGCGGTCACTCAGACCGTGAGAGGAGAGGGGCATCCCGGACACACTCAGCCGGTGGACCGCAGTACGGTGGACCGGGGCCTGTTCTCCAGAAGGCAAGTGTCGGATCTCTACTTGTCAATATAGATTATTCTTTAAAAACGAAAAAAAAAAGTTTTTCAGCTGGATCGGTAAAATGTTTTTGGAAGCCTATATTTTATTATATGTATATCAGTGCTGCGTTTAATGAATGGTTACTCACCATTAACCTGTCACCGATGAGAAGCGTGATTTAATGTGAAACTGCGCGTGAACAGAAAAACCCGCTGCGTCGCTAAATATTCAACAACTGCATCCCGCCGCGCGCTCTTCACGCGCATAATGTGCTTTAATTTATTGTAAAATTTAATAAAACCACATTTTACTGGTATTTTATATTTTAAAATTCGAAATTCGAACAATTAGAGAAAGAAACTTGAATTATATTTAGGCCTATTGCCTTATTGTTTTATTATCACCGGATTGGTGAATATCGAAAATAAGAATAAGAATAAGAAAATAATGGCCATAAAAAATATTTAACGATGGGTAATTAATTTAAACAAATAAATTGTTTGATCCAAAAAAAACAACAAAAAAAAAAAAAGTTTGCTTAATATATTTGAAAAGTAATCCAACTGAATGCATTTCTTTAATCTAAATAAAGTGAAATAAATGCAACGCTCAAAATTCAATCGGAAAAAATTAACCAGGCCTAATAAAGCTTTCCAGCGCGCGCTGCATAACCTCTGAATGCACATATTAATTCCCCGTCTGATAATCCGAGGATTTCCTTCACATTAAGTGAGATGTGATGTTGGATCTGACAGCAGTCCCACCCCTCTGTCCTCCCCTCTTATTCACTCCTCTGTTCTCTATTCTTCTTCTGGGACTGATTCGTCTTATCCATCCACACACAAAGGCATTTTGTTTGGTCCCTTTGTGACCCGCATTCCTCCCGCACAGAGTCTCCGCCGAGCCCGAACTCACGGCTCTATTGTCACACACTTCCACCGGAGATTTAGGACCTTCGCCGCTCTTTGATTTATTTAAGTGAAGCCATATGGACGCTGTTATTTATAAGTCATTAAATCACAAATTAACTTCTAAATTACGGCTACTGAACCATTATCGCACTGTTAATCACTAATAACGTACAGTTTTACGGTTTGCTGTTAGAAAAGGGCTTAATTTAGAAGGCCTACACGCTGTTTTAACTGATTTATAACAGATGATGGTCAAGTGGATCTCGAGAATAACGCGCGCGCCGCGTACATGTGTTCTTTAAGCGCGCTCATTCAACGCGCGATATCAAAGGTTTAACGCTGACATCCCAGTCCGCCCAACAGATCGCAGAACCGGCTGATGGAGTGAAAGGAGATGTTGAAAATATAAAAGATGGGCGTTTCGGCGGCTGGTGGAGCACAGATCAGCGAATAAAGAGATGTTTGAATGGGGGAAACGGATGGCTAAAGCTATAATTGTATTTGCCTCGGCAAAATATCAGAAAGGACTTTTCTCGGGCCTTTGTGTGTTATTAGATTAATCCCTTCTTTTTCCTCTCGAGGCGCGTGGAGGGAGGACGGTGGACCAGTTGGTCTTTGGTTGCAATAATCAAATTATCAATTTGCTACATCTTTTAGTCACAACTCGCGTGTAGAAAGAAAAAATTAACATAATAGGGGGCCGGGATGTATCAAGAGAGACTAGACTTTTTAATCGTCATTTATCTTTCTCACAATAAAAAGACGAAGGACCAAAAAAAATAAAAAGAGAGAGAATTTAAACGGTGCAGAAATGGTGGAAAATCAAACCCGAAACGCGTGATGCTTTTATTCGTGTGACCTCATAAATGTGAATAATCGCTTTTATCCCTCTGTTGCATTTTGACACAAGCGTGTTTTTCTGAGCTCGACCACAGGTGCATCAGCTCTGTTTCTGTTGAAGGCTAAAGGTGTTGTGCGTGTCCTTTGTTTTATGAATTGACAATTGTTTTATATATATGTTTGATATTTTAAATATGAGGCGTTTGTTTTTGCTTATGCCTTATATTCAAGGCTCCAGTGTTATTGGCCGTGTGTGTGTTTTTACTGTGAGAAACGCAATTATTTTGACTGCATTTAATATATAAAGTCCGTCATATGACTTGTAATCAATAACCGTTTGGAAGAAATAATTCTTACCGAAATTTGATATGCATTAATTGCAATTAATTCAAACATCTGTGCAGTCTTCCGTTAACATTGCGCATGATTTAAATATATTATGTTATCCCCGAGTTAATTACACTTATGTTCTACGGCAAATCAGAAATTTAAGAGTGTTGATGATTAAGCTATTTTGTGAATTTGCACTTGCCCTTCACGGGAATAAAATAAAATAAAAACATATTGCAGAAGCATTTATAAATTAGATGGAACTACAGCAAATAAACGAGCGCAACTTGATCAGTTTAATTTAGAAATGAAATATCCGTCCATGTGGTAAACATAACATTTAACGCCGTGTTTGCAAGTAAATCTATTGCATGTTTATTATATATTTACACCTATTTGACTGAATACCTTTATTATTAGGTATTCGAATAGATTTACATGCAAACTTTAATTTTGCAGTGTCCTTGTTACAGGTCAAATGTACATGTAACTAAAATTATGCATTTTTAAATGCAACTAACCCAAACCACACCCTAACCCTATGTAGTTATTATTATTATTACACATACCTAAATGCATAATTACACTGTAACACTGACAGCCGCCCATTGCACGAAATTATTATTATTGTTGTTGTTGTTGCGCTATTATTAAAGCATCACGGCGAGCATTTGCTTTCAGCAGTCATTGATTTCCGTCAACATTGTTCAGAATGACATCGCTTATATAAGTATGCTACTAAATTAGGCATGTGTAACACTACAGTCTCGGCTCCTGAAAACCAGCAGTGCAGAGCATAAAAGAAAAGAGAAAGCGAGAGATGAAAAAGTTAAAGGAGACGGGGAAATACTATCGAAAATTCAGCCCAAGGTATACCACCGGTTTAAAGGCTTAAAAGCTCGGGGAAAATTGGATCAGGGAGAATCGTCACCCAACTTTCATTATTTCCAAGTGGTGTGATTGAATTAAAGGGCAAGATGGCGGTTTGAGCGCGAGGGCTGGGCTGGCGCGTAATGGCGGGGTATTAAATTCTAATTAGAGATGCAGGGGATCAATGATAGGGAGGTTGGACAGCCCGATCCCCCAGTGCCAGCCCAATAGACTGATGAGTTATTGTCATGTAAAAAAGCGCTAGCAATAAGACCCAAACGCCGTGCTATTGTCCAAGCGGAAAGAGCCAAGTTTATTATGAGGACTATATGCTCTAGAGACCTGGGGCTAGGCGGCTCCTTGGGAGGCTTTTCATAAAACAAGGCTCAGCTCCTATAAAGGAGGGCAGTTTTTGAGCAGGCGCCGAGCAGTGCACATCTACCCACGGCACGAGCCTCCTTCAAACCAGTCAAAATTCAGCCGTCACGAGCTGAGCTCCCCAACTCCGAGCGCGCGTCGGGTTTTCATGTGCTCCTCGCCATTTTAATCCAATTTGTGTGTCTTTTTCCTTGGGAGTGCAGCTTTCCTTCTCCACTGAGCCTTTTCAATGTATAAAATGGAGTATTCTTACCTCAATTCCTCTGCCTACGAGTCGTGTATGGCCGGGATGGACACGTCGAGCCTGGCTTCAGCCTATGCGGACTTCAGCTCCTGCAGCCAAGCCAGTGGCTTTCAGTACAATCCCATCAGGACGACGTTCGGGGCCACCTCGGGGTGCCCGTCGCTCACCCCGGGCTCCTGCAGCCTCGGCACCCTGCGGGACCACCAGAGCAGCCCGTACGCCGCAGGTAAGCCGGCACACGCCGTATATACGCGCCCTGATTGCTTTGGAAAATGGAAATGTGTTTAGTATTTACCAAACGAAATTTGCTTACACAAATGAAAGAATTTATCACGTTAGAAGCGATTGCAGGCAAGAGGTAATTCAGTTACGGGGTTACACTATCCCAGTCACACCCTAACCGCCAACAAAATTATCTTAAGCTGCCAAAATGATAGGCATAATTTATTTACTTTGCGATGAGACATAAACCTTCGAAAATAATGAAATAACCAGCGACTTAAGCTCATTATTGACAGTGAATTGAAGTTGCACTAGCAACAATAGCAGCATTTATGACAAGTTTCCAATGCAGTCTCCAATAACATTCAATTAACAGCATTTCGCGGATAACAGGATTACATCCACTCGGGATTTATATAACCTTATCTTTTATCACGATTTGATCTTATCTTACAGGCATAACCACCGAATACACCTAGTTTGGAAACTTTATTCGAAAAATTTCGTTTTCGTTTCTTCCTATTAGAATCAACAAGTGGTGTGTTTTACATCAACATGACCTTTTAGGTGCATTTTCTCGGTGCACAATTGACTCAACCTGTGTGTTATTCGACAGTTCCCTACAAGCTGTTCACGGACCACGGGGGACTGAACGAGAAGCGGAAGCAGAGGCGCATTCGCACGACGTTCACCAGCGCGCAACTCAAAGAGCTGGAGCGCGTGTTCGCCGAGACGCACTACCCGGACATCTACACGCGGGAGGAGCTCGCGCTGAAGATCGACCTCACCGAGGCTCGCGTGCAGGTGGGGGAGCACCCGCTACATCTACATCTACAGCAGAACACATCCATACACACATCTACATCTACAGCAGAACACATCCGTACACACATCTACATCTACAGCAGAACACATCCATACACACATCTACATCTACAGCAGAACACATCCGTACACGCACTCGCTACATCTACAGCAGAATACATTTCTATATTATTATTAAGAGCATTCATGTTAAATAATAATTATAATTTCTGTATGCAAGTGCAATGACATAACGCGCGCGCTTTTCCACAGGTGTGGTTCCAGAACAGGCGCGCCAAATTCCGCAAGCAGGAGCGCGCGGCCGCCGCAGCAGCAGCCGCCGCCAAGAACGGGTCCGCGAAGAAGGATTCGCGAGAGGAGGACAGCAAAGAGGCCAAGGCCACCGATCCCGACAGCACCGGCGGGCCCGGACCCAACCCGAACCCGTCCTCCAACTGTGGGGGGCCGAGCCCCAGCGGCGGACCGGTGAGCGGCTCGGGGAACGGCCCGGTGGAGCAGGGCAAGACGGCGGTGGCCGGCATGGGAGTCACTGCACCGAGTCAAGGTTGGGCTTCAGCCCCGGGAACCATCACCTCAATTCCGGACTCTCTGGGCGGACCGTTCGCCAGCGTTCTGTCCACATTACAAAGACAGAACGGAGCCAAAGCCACTTTAGTAAAGACCAGCATGTTCTGAGTTAGAGGTAGCGACGAGCGCGAGATTCAACAAACCAACAAGAGTTTACTCGAGTGACTGTGGGGAAATGCCAAAAGAAGGAGAGAG